GGAAGAAGAACGCGCCCAGGGAGCTGGACAGGCTGAAAAAAATCCTGGGAACGAACGCGGATGTCGTCATGGAGGAGGTCAAGGAGGTGGCGACCGTGCTGCCCCCCAAGAAAGTCCTCGAGCAGGGGGGTGAGTTGGGCCCTCGCAGGGCGGCGCTGGAGCTAGCGGGGGGGGCCTCGCTGGCCAGCCGTGCCAGCCCCGGGGCGGCCGAGATGCCTGCGCTGGCTGTCACACGGCCCTGGCTTGCCCAAGGCCTGCCTTTTGAATGTCCGGCTATCTTTTCCTTCGGCCTCACCACCAGCCACGTTTCCAGTGTGTTTTTCACGATACCAGTTTTTCTGTTGCAACCACCCAAGTGTAGGGGCGTCCAGCGGTATATTTATTTGTCGTTCCTGTGACTTTCATCATCGTGATCAGACTTAGGATTATTATAGGTTGAGAATAGTGAGTTGGAAAACCAAATTTTTATCTTTTTAAGCCAAAAGATGCTATTAAATCATTAAACGTGATCATCCCATAACGTTAGCTTCTATATTACATCCGATCACTTGTGGAACAAGCTTATTCACATTTGATTTAAAGTATTTAGTATCTTATAGAGAGTCATCTATTTGTGAAGACATCAGGTGGGTGAGGATTCATCACTTAGCAGGTGTTCCAATCACAGCATCATATTCGCTGTTAAACTGGAGATAGGATATAATTTCCCTCCTAGTTTAAGGAGGACATAAAATTGGACTTAAATCTGAAGTAATTTTGTATATTTAATCAAGAACAGAGTGATTTTTTTTTTTCCATTTTTAAATGGACTATCTCAAAGAAGGGGTAGTAGGGACCCTGTTTTTGTATGCTAATTAATGCTGCATTGCATGTGATGCTGGAGTGGATGGCATTAGGTGTCTACAGATAATGCCATCTTCCTCTCTGTTCCTTGAATAGGATGTAATCTGTAAAGCAAGTAATGCAGGAAGCAGAAACAAAGGTTTTAAATGGCTGTGTATTGGACAGGAGTCAGAAAGACTCTTTCTCTTTCCAAAACTGCAGTCTAAACTAAATCATAACCCTTTTTTCTTCTCCAATTTAGGTCACTTAAGCTGTTACGATACTGCTGATGTGAGCTTTTTATGTGGCATGCAGAAATCTCTTGAGACATCACAGTGAGGATATAGAATAATGCTAGAAATCACTGTCAGTCATGCAGCCAGTTTTGTCAATGTCTCAGATATCAGGAAAGACAGGGAATGTTGTGAGGTTGAATAGCAGAGCATGTAAACTATATTGAAAATGGAAATAGAAAGCTACATAAAAATAGTTGCCTAATTAAGGGTAGCTTGGAGTATAATTTGTAATTTTATCCATGGTTCTGATTTGTCCCATAAACCAGATGTAAAAATTGTTCTTTATGGGATTGTTAGGATTGAATTTCCAAAATGTTGTGGAATATTGCTAGCCTTCTGATACTGATGCTGAAGCTGGAGGAAACATGGTTGTCTTAAACTTAGTTTCTGAAGGAAATGCCTGGCTGTCATTCCAGGATCCCCTTCCAAGTCTTCTGGCAACTTTTCTACAAGTGGCCAATTTCACTTGGCCTTTGTAGAGAGAGAGCAGTCTCTGAAATACCTACGTGTGTGTGTATATATATTTTTTTTTTCTTCACAAAACAACTACAAGTTTTGTGAAAATACCGGTGTCCTCTTTGAGAGGACTCCAGCACTAACTGCGGACACAAGGGAGTTCACATTGCCAAATGTTACAAGGACCAAAGTAGATGAAGGTTTCATCCAGAATATGCACTTTCCATAGATAGGTGGATTCCATAAATAAAATAATTTTCCAGCCTAAGAAAGTATATAAGTGTCTTAGGGAATTTCCTTGTGTTACCTTAAGGTAACAGCACACTGTGAATTCCCCCCCCAGTTTTTGCTGTTAGGGAAAAAAGTAATGGAAGGTCTGCCTAGCCTTTGGTCAAAAATGGTTTTGTAACTGTTTTTAAAACTTTTTGGGCCCGCACGTGTTTTTCAAGATAATCATATCCACTGAGTCTGCTTCAGTAACCTACTTTTATAGCTTTTTTTTTCTTGGTCCCTTTCTCTTTGTCTTTTAACTCCTTTGACATGTTTTCTTTATGTCCTTGGACCACTTCTGTTCAGTAGGTTTCTCCCTGTTAATGATTCCTACAGCATCCTTGAGATTGCAAAGTACGATGAAAACATTGTGCTATGTCAACAGCTGGTATTTTTTCTCCAGGAGTGTTTCTTCATTTAGTTAACGTTGCAGCTGATGTTTATTGTGGATGTGCTTTTTTTGCAGTCAGAATTCCTGTAACAGATTAACCTCAGTCATATGATAGGACAGGAATTAGAGAAGAAGCTTATGTAGAGTTGGTTTTCTTGGGGTTTTGGGTTTTTTTGTGTTGTGTTGTTGGGGGCCGTCTCTCCTTCGATGACATTTGGAAAACAAGGCTGCTAAAAAGGCATCATATTGCGTTTCTCTGATATCTCAGGAGGTTTCTGGAGCTGGGACTTTTGCTGCCTGTCCTTTGCTGGATCAGCCTTTGATTGGTGCCAGCAGGCAAGAGGCCCCTGTGCTGATTCTCTGCTGAGTACAAGTATTCATATCCCAACTTGAGGCCTCCCTAAGCATATCACTGTGGTGCAGGTCCCTGTAGACTATCAGCATGCTTCAGCTGTTTTTTATCTCATGAGCTTTGTCACCCAACATCAGACAGGCACAATGTAAAAAAAAAAAAAAGTCTTTTTTTCCTCTTTGTAAAAACTCATGATAAAGCTTTTAGAGTTGCACAAGGATGCACAAGGTTTGGAAACAAGGTTGAAATTAAATAGTAGAGCACAGTTCAAATCTGTACTTAACAAGCTGTTCCCCTCTCATTGGGACATGCCATTCATGTGCTGTTAGCTGGCTGGGACACCGTTCTTGGGAGTGAAGGTCTTCCGTCACAGACGGTCTTCCTGATCTCAGAGATTAATTCTGTATTTCTGTCTCTAAATATATTAGACTTGACCTTGTGCTCAATTTTTGAGGCAAATGTAGCATCACTGGCTCATTCTTTGTGCTGTCATTGTATTTTAGCTTTTCTTTTTATTCTTCTCTTTTACCTGTTTTCATTTTCCACTCAATTTAATTTTTTAGAGTAGATCTTAAACATTACATCATAAAAAATATTTCATTGTGCATATGTTTCAGGAAGCCTATGACTTCCTGTACGGTTGCAGCTTTTGATGGAGACCACACACAATGTTTTTAGATGCAGTATTGGAACAAGTGACAGAGTAAAGAATAAAGGTGCTTTGCCCAGACATGGGCCTTTAGGGAAAGTTCTGCATATTTACTATCAGCTGTTGAAGTTCCTGGGTTCCAGTTGTATTGGGTTGGAAAGCACTTTCAATGTATAAAGCCTTCAGCTCTCTATGTACAAATACCGCTGTGTCTAGGAGTATTTTTATCATTTTTGGGCATCTAGTAACAAAGTAGTTTTTACAAAGCTGATTCATGTATTTTACTCACTATAAATACCTTTCTTTTTCAGATGACTGCAAAATGGACATAGATAATAAACGAAACAAAAAAACTCTTCTAGACCAGCATGGACAGTACCCAATATGGATGAATTCCAGGCAGAGAAAGAAGCTTAAGGCACAGCGTGTTAAAGGGAAAAAAAAATCAAAGTTGGCCAAAGGCCTAGTCTGGTAAAGTTGGAGTTTTGTAAGATCGTGAATATTTTACTTGCAAAATAAATATCCCAAACAAGTACATGATATTTTTGTGCTTGGCAACCAAGTATAATTTATTGTGTTGCATGAATTTTTGAAGAGACTGTTAGGTCAGCAAATGATAAAAGCAATATCAACTTGGTGTCTGCCAAACTTAAGAAAAAAATACAAAAAGCAAGCTGAGTGCCTTTGAATAGACTAAGTGTCTGTGGTTAACTGTTTTCTTGAGGGGGGGGAGTCTTCATGGTTTATATTGTGAATGCTGAAGATGCTAAAGGAATTCTAAAAGTAATAAAACTGTAAATGGTTTTTATACTATGGTCTTTGTCAATGTAACTTGTCTTTCAGTAAATTTAACCAGAGGATTCTATAAACTCACCAAAATCTTTAAACTCTTCTGTAAAATTACTTTTGTTGCGCAGATTTGTGTTATTTTTAACATCTGGTAATTAACGAAAAAGGGCTTTTAACATGTAAATTAAAAGAGATTATACACTGTAATCAACAGCAAGACTTCATGGAACTTCTGTAAGTAAAAGGACAAAGTGTCAGTCTGACTTTAATTCGCAAAGAGAAAGCTGTTGGAACAAAAGTATTTCACTGCTGTCTGCGGCTGAAGGACTGTAGGAGCTAAATAACTGAAAACGGATTCTTTTATTATTAGTATGAGAGAATACAAATGCAGAGATTGGAAATAAAATAGTCTTATTTAAGACCTTTTCCAAGTTTTAGTAAAGTAAATGAGAATTTACTTTTTCATATGTATTTTCTGTAGCCCTTTATTCCTCTTAAAATGGTTCTCATCTATCATGCTTTACAATGTGGGCATAGGATAAAATATTGCATGATTGCATAACAGCTGCCATTTATATGTGATTAGCTACAGTTGGTTGCATATTACTCGGCAATAACATGTGATGACAGATGGAAGAATTAGTTGCCCTGAAAGCTTGTGTGTTTAAAATGTCTTTCATTTCAAGGGTGGAAATAATTATAGTACCAGTCCTGCAGTCTGTTGCCTGTTGAAGGACCATTCATCGATACAGAGCATAACCTTTGTCCACATCCAAGACGGGATCCACCTCCTGTAATTGCCTGCAAATTGTGATAACGTGTCTGTTCTGATAACTTGGGCATAGGAAATAGGACTTACTCTTTTAAAAGTAATTACACTAGCTTATACTGTGCTAAAATAAGAAGAACTCAACCTGATAGAAAATTTAGTGTTTTCTGGAAAAATATAGTGGGTTGTTTATTATTGTTGGTAGGTGAAAAGTATTCTCTTGCTCAGGTAAAGAACTACAAAGGTGTTGGAGGAAATACCAATGCATCTTCTGTTTTCACATACATTGACAGTTAATGAGTCTTGGTAAGATGTTTAGATCAAAGTTTTCCAAATTACATGCCATTAATAACTTTGAACTTTAAATATATTAACTTGATAATACCCCTGCCAAAAATACAGATGCTGCTCTTAATTTTTTTGTTTTATTAGATAAATGCTTTAGATTTCAGTATCAAATATGTTAGCATTTAGATTAGTACTATTTTAAAGTTGATTAATATGGAGGAAAGTGTTCTTTAAGGTTCATAATTATGTTTATCCAGAAATTGAATGAACAGTCAGTTTGTATTTCTTCACTATTTTAATGACATAGGCTGTGTTTTGCTTAATGTGTGGTTCGGGGAGTTGTGGAGGGGAGCTTCTTGGGTGTAAGTGCTAACAATTTGGGGTTTTTCTGTAGAGCAAGCACAGTGCTATTTTTGACATGCTTGTTTGTAAATCAGATTACTTTCAAGCAACTGCTAGCGGGGAAGCAGACTGCTTTTCCTGAGGGAAGTTAATCAAACTGGTAAAGTACTCCCATTTAAGTGTACGGCTTCAGAGTCAGTTTATTTTCATTCTTTAAGTGGGCAGCCATACTGTGTGTCTCATCTTAATCGAGGCTGCCACCGCTGTACTTGCCTTATCCTCTCCTCTGGCTGGAGCTGTTCCAGCTGTGCCTCCCATCCTTCCTCTATACAAGAAAATGACCTGCACAACTCAATACTCTTTCTCATTTCTGCTTTTCTGACCTAGTCCTGAGCTTTGTTGCACAAATTTACTAGTCTGCTGCTTTTGTGACCAGATTAGGGATTTGAATCTCAAATGAGAGACAGCAGCTGCTTGCACTGATCTTTTATTTAGCAGTTGCTTTCCACCAGCTGAAACAATGCTGCCTGTGTGAGGTATTTCCGTCATGGTGTCCAGGATAAGTCAAACAGGTTCACTTAAACTACAGATATTTTAAGACATCCTGTTTGATTTTTGAGCTGAAGCAGAGAATAAGAAAGGAATAAACCCCAGTCTTTGCTGGAAGGCAGCTCTTAGTCTAGTACCAATGTACTTCTGTGTACATCACAGCTCACTCGGGTGAGGCAGAGCTCTCTCTGGGCCAGGGGGGGTTTTGAGAGCCTGGTTGGGTGGGATCTGTAATGCAGGCTGAAGGCTCATGTGTAGATGGACAGCAGGAACCTAGCTAAATGTGCAGCATGGGGGTAACCTCAGAGGTTGAGTTGCAGGTACAGCAGGGAAATTTTACCTTCCAGGATTTCAGCATATACTAGGTATGGATATTGTAATTTTGTATTTGCGATTTGCTTTAGATCTGCTTTGAGCAGCTATTTTTGCAGGTGAATACTATCTTTTTCGTCACTATTGAATATTCAGTTTACATTGCTGAATCTGAACCATGTTCTGTTTGATCAGTTGATTAAAAAAATCATTCTTGTTTCTTCACAATAGAAGGTGAATTTAAACATACTGTGTTTTTTCTGAAACAAATGTTTTAAAAGCCTGTAAGAGGGGTTTCCTAAGTAGTAAGCTGTCTGCCTCTAAAAAACATTCCAATTATATCATAATGTGTTGATCTTTAAAAAAAAATTTTTAAGTTGTGATTGGGAGTGAAAAGTTTGCAGATGATCAAACAGACTAATGGAAGTCTAAAATTGTGTAACGGAAATGGTATTGGCAGAGGTGTGTTTTTTTGAGTGTGGAACTGCACTACTATGAAACTGCTTTGTTGAAACTTCCAACCACTGTTAACTCTGCCACCAACCTACAAAGTGCTGTGGTAGCTGTATTTCATGGACATTTTTGTATTTCAAAGGTAGGGGAAATAGTGTAGGCAGTTTTTAACTACAAGTGTAAATGCCAGAGCTGAAAGAATTAAATAGTATCATTTTATTGAAATACTTACGTGTATAAAGTGTGTGTACACAGTATAGCATCTGCATTAGCAAATTGCTAAATGTCCTGCAGATTGTTGGCAGTTTCCTGAGAAGATGACAACATCTGCCCTTTTTGACAGAGTATGCAGAACTTGGTTTTAAAGTTGCTTTGTTTTGTTTTGTTGGTTTTTTCTTCAGCTGGATCAGTTTCCAGCCTTACTCAACAGAATGTGGTGTCAGTAGGAGGCAATACAAGACCAGGAACAAAGCTGGTGAAGGCAGGGCTGCATGAAACCATCCTCTTGTTTAAATGCTGCATACTGAGCTATGTTCTCGTGTGCCACCTTTTCTCCTATGGCACTAACGGCTCATGTTCTTAACACAGTGCCATGGGGTACAGTGTTTTGAAGATGAGGAAAGGTTCTGGAGATGAGGTCAAGCAAATGCATTGAATAGTGGTTGTGAAGGTTTTATTCAATGGAGGGTATAGTATTAAAACCATTGAGGTCAATGTTCTTACTTAGAGTCCCTGTTAAGTTTTGCTCTAACACTTGGACAACGTGGACTCCACTGGTGCACGTAGTCAGCTGCGAGCTTTTACAGATTCTTTCAGTTTGATTTATCTTCTGGCTGATGCTGTGCTTACAGAGTAGACTAAACCTGGTTTGGGGATGTCTAGTACCAGAAGAAGAATGTCATGACCACATGATGCGAAGTGCTCCTCTGATACATGGTCACAACTTTTTTTTTTTTTTCTCTAAACAAAAGTAGCCCTCCTTTATCTATACAAAGGCTTTATACTGTATGTCTGTTTCTAGTATGCTGCCTTTTCTTCCTGCAGCTTGAAGAGTCACTTGGATTGTAGTGAATGGAATCTGGATGTCTGATCAGTATCAGATTTGAAACGTGAATTTGTCTGGTATTAAAGATCATAGGACTACGGCCTTAGCATTGCAGAAATCTGAGAGGTGCAAAGCAATCTGTTCCTCTGGGTGGCATGGTCTTAATTGAGTTGTGGCAGTTGTGGGGATGATTAGGGTCTGAAACAATAGCTAGGAATTGCTCTCTTCAGGCCAGGGTTCCGCCATCAATTTTAATTTACCGAAGGGTGAGGTTTCAGGGGGGAGTGAGCCATCTGATAGCTCACTGCTGCAGGAAGAGGCTCCTCTTCAACCTTTTTCCCCTCCCTTCTCCAGCTGCACTGCCCAATTCATGATGTGCTGCTTCAGGAGAAACAGACGTTGAGATTTCTTTTTTTTCCGAGCTAAAAGTGAGAGAGAACTGATGACTTCCATTTAATAAGGACTGCACAGTTGTGACAAGCCCCTTATGCCCGCTGTCTGTTTATTCTTCCTACACTACCCCGCGGTTCTGATTTCAATTTTCCCTTATTGATAGCAACAGTGTTCAAAGGAAAAGAGAAGGCAGAATGGGAAGAGGAGGAGTTTTCGCTGCCCCTTCTCCCTGTTCTGAATCACTTTAACATCACTCTCGCAGGTCGCTAATTTTTCTGATGCACTTCTATCGATACAAAAGGTCTGAAATGTTAGAAACAGTACATGGTGTGGCAGCAGAGGGTTGTGTGTCAAGGGTCGTACACAAGGTAGCATGCGGACTGCTTTATGAAGGGCTTGTGTACTGAGAGCAAACCATCAGTGACTTGTTTTCCTCCGATTTCAATTTAATCAACTATTCAGGGGACTCTGAAAGTTATGAGAGATATTCTTGTTTGGTAAACATTTAGCATCTTTTCTCTCTAATTGCAGTGAATTTTCTTGCAAGGCTTCTAAAGTCTGGATGTAGATTTTACAGGATTTTTAAACTTCTGCCTTTAACTAGAAAT